GATATTATGAATTTCTCTACAGTATTCACATATTCAATTGGTATAAAATCTGCTAATGTTATTTTATCAGGTAACAATCCTGTTTCGAGCAAAGACCCTGTCTTATCTTTGAAAGTTTGCTTTTGTATAAACCTGCATTGAAGAGGGTTTTCTTCAAATACAGTGAAGGTTCTGTGTTTGTGTGTGATTCATGGCCTTAAAATGTTTGTGTTCACTAAGTCTTTAAGGATGCGAGTACATTTACCTGCTTGTATGCGTGCCATACATTTGACCGAGCTTTCCCTTTCCCTTTCTTTTTCTCTCTCCTCAGGGAAGGCTAGACATTCCTGAGGTCTGGAAAGCAGAGACCTCTGAGTCAGTCAGGTCATGGCCTCCGACTAAATGAGCTGTATCTGCTTCAAATGGACACTGATTACTAAGGGAAGAAGGAGTTCTCATGCAGCCGTGTCAGTGAAGGCATCGTTAGACTGCTGATTCAGTCCCTGACACCTAATGTCAATGTATATGCACTGGTTGCCACTGGATACCCACATAATGTTGTTTCAGTAATATGCAGTCTTAATAATAAATCTGATGAAATAAAGATCAGTTTAAATTAAAAACAAAAGGTTGAATGTTACAGAGAAGTCAAACACTGCAGATCTAACTATTTGTTTCAATAGTGTGTTTAGTTAACAGTGCTGGGAAGCAAAATATATATTTGTCTCCCCTATTTTCTCCGTAGGCACACTTACTTAGTTGCCTGACTGAAAGAGTTTTCCATGTTTAAAAATCCAATCTGAATGGTTTGCTTTGTCCTTGATTTATTAATTCACCTTTAACATGTGCTTGCTTCCTTCATTTGGCAAAAATAAGTTTGTCAGAGACTTCCGGAATAAAACAATGGTTCAGTTGAAGGCTAGAAACTCTGGCTCCGCATGTGAAGTTTTACAACATCTCTAGGAGAGCGAGAGTTGTTTATTTTACCCGGTGAGAGAAGAACAGGAAATGTCTCACGGTTACGTGTTTCCTCTTTGCCCTATACTGTGTGCATTTGATTATGCTTTCATAGAAAGAGTGGAATATTTCAAATGGACTATAATCACTTCACCACATTTGTATAGACTGGTCTGTCAAGACATAACACTTTCTTGACATTAAGTGACTGTTATGTGTAATACTGTATATAGATGAAAATAGGAAACCACTGCACTAAAGCAAGATATTTTGGGAGAAAAATAATAAACTATTTTCTTTAGGTTGATTAAACACTGGATGAATTTGCTTACAGTATTTAAGTATATCTGTCAATAGGTTAGAAGTTCACACTTTAAACTATAACAAATTGAATTACATTTACCCAACCAGCAGATTAAAAAGCTATAAATGTGTAAAATGTACAAACATTTGCTTGTCTTAGAAATTCTGACTTGGTTATTGAATATTAGAATATCCTAATCTACCAGTCTATACAGCAAAGATTGGGTAATACAAAGTGTTTCAAAGAAGCGTGAATCCTCTGTTTTCTGTTCTAACCTTCATGATATTAATTAAAAGGAGCATTTTGTTTTGGCAGCTGAGATGACTGCACTCAAAACGGATTCAAAAATGTGAAGCAACATCGTATTACATGCTGCGATGTGACGCCTTGAGCAGTCTAAAGTGAGATCACCACCTCCCCCAAGAGCCAAAGTTAAGCTTTGTTAAGTTTTACAAATATATATGCCACTACTGTTTTGCTCCTGACTGGTACAGTCTCGTAATGTGGGCATGATTTATGCTCACAGGAAGATCTTGTTTAAGACAGTTGAGTTAAATTAGGAAAGCCCACCCACTCAGAAACACAGCAGCATGTTTACAAAGTGAATCATTTCTATAAAGATGTCATCCTGATCAGAGGTGACACGGTCATGTCTACCCTGGAGTTTAGACTTCTTTCTGTTGATATTATGTGAAATATGCCATCTCCCCACGGCAAATACAAATCATGAGTCAAACGCTCTCCAACACACGCATAGATGTAAGACATTTTCATTTCCATGAGGCAAAATAAAACTACAAGCAATTGTTGGGCCATAAAAGGAAAGACATTTTATTTGTATGTATTTAACCTTTCTGAAGAAAGATTGGAACCCCCACCAAACACTTATATACAAGAACAAAGTTGACATTACTGCTTGCATTAATGGTATTTTAAAATGTTATTTGACCTGTGAATAAAAAAAGAGAATTAAATTGCCTATAGCCTTTGTGGCAACATGTGACTTTGTTGTTGTTTCGTATTTGTGCACATTTAAAAAACAAAGAAGCTATTCACATTATTACACCATATGATTTCCTAGTGCTTCATGTCTTTCGTGCTATTTTAAATTCTTCACGGTGCTTCAATACTAAAGTGCACCTAATGCAATAGCCTCATTTCGACAATGCTCACTGCACTGCTGTCATCTTTATGGATGATGCCACTTGTGTGCTGTGTCACCTATCTTAGAAACACATCAGTTTTATATTGCATGGCTTTGTTCCCAAATCTCTCAAGTCTTTGCTCTGATCCAGCCTGAGGTCTTGATCCCCCGCCAGGTGTGTGACTGCACTGCTGTTGAGGCACCTGTCTAATTGTGACCTTTATATTGAATTGCTCCTCTGATGCCAGCTGACAAGAGACTGCATTGTTATTCTGCTGTCACTTGTATTACCCACTTGTTGTGTCAAAAAAATCCAGGTTTCAAGGATTTATTTCAATACTTCTCTATTGGCACTTCAACACAAAGCACTCAGAGCTACACACAATTGCTCTAATGTTTCTGATAGCCATTATTAATACATTTGATAAGCAACAGTAAGCCAATGTTTCCCAAACTCTTTCACATCAAGGACCACTAAACTAACATAGATCAGACCACAGATCCTCATTTTTTTTTGTGCCAGGGTCCCTTCTAAGGATAGGCCTTTTGCTTTCAGGGGATTTATTACAAAAGATGCAGTCTTACTCTCTCGTATTGTGTTACGTATGGATAGAGTGAAAATGACTGATTCCCTCAAGGTCTACTGAGGTCCCCCTATGGCAATTTGAGAACCGTTGCATTACACTGTCAAACAGGCTGTGGAGCTGTTCATATTGACAATCCTATGCCTTGTTCAAAGAAGCCTTGGTGGCACTTTACAATCAAATTCATTTAATTGTAAAGAGTCTAATTGTTTACTTAATGTGTGTCGTTTATATGGTCTGACAATGTTTAAACTCTTCCAGCAGAAAGGTGTTTCAGCAGCCAACATCAAGCTTTGCTCTTGCTGGCAGAAGCTTTTATCATACATTTTACAATATGTAAAAGTAGAAGGTCACTTTTGAGATCCTTTCAAGCCTCTATAAGAGTTAAATAAAGTATATTACATAAGGAATGATTTTTGCCTTCTTGGCCATCTTGGAAAAGATACCTCTGGGGTTTAAAATATAATCCAAAACAAACTGAGGGCGAAAAAGAAGTTTAACTATGATATACTGCTGCTGTCAAATGACAATGCTGCATTTTCCAGATCTAAAAAACTGTAAAAGTTACTTTGTTTTTCTTGCTTGACACATGTCATTGTACAATTACAGTGATTTGAAATGATTTGTTGCCTACTATTCCACAATTAAAGGACGGTTGAATATTTGTTCCTCAAGTTAGTTCATGCAACAACAAAGACACTTTAAAAAAGTGTAAATTATAATGGTTGTGGGGTTGTTATGATGCCATATATTTAATTGCCGTTTCTTTAAATACCATAATCTGTTATTTAAACTAGATTGGTTGTCTACCGTAATTTTTAAATTAATTCAAGACTGTGAGATTTTCCAGCCTGCTTCAAAATGTTGATCTTTATAGAGGAAGCAGTGCCTGCACTTAGTCATGTGTTAATATTTATCCAAGAACGCATCCGCTTAAGGGTCTAAAATAATGGGGATTGTTTAACAAAACTTTAATGGAATCCGCAGCGATTGTTACATTTATTTTCTATAAAAACGTTTTAGGACAGTAACAAATGTTAAAAAAGGCCAAAGTGCACTGTTTTATATTATGTACTTCCACAAGGTACAAGAGTTTCATTGTTACTGGTGTCAGGGGAGAAAGGATGTGCCTGGGTTTCAGAAGATTGAAGAATAGGATTTGAGTCAGACATAAGGTTTAGATTTAGCATGAGTTTGGTGAGAGAGAAAGAGCTTAAATTCAAAGAACAACACTGCCACCTGTTGGTTATTAAGTATTACTAAAAAAAGGTCAAACAAAAACCAGTTCCATCCTTGGATTGACTCCTGTTAGTCAAGAAAAACTGAAAAGGGAGAAGCTGTTGTTGAACTAAAGTATGCATAACTCTTGTTTTCAAATCTATTCTTGCAATCAACTTTCAGGAAAACAACTTGTAGTTACAACTAGCAAGAGAAATATGTACCGTCACGGTTATCCATTAGCCTATCTGAAATGTCAAACCTTAATAAAGCAAAAGTATGCATATTGCAATTCACAAGTCAAAAGTAATTATTTTCTAAATACAGCCGGAATACGCAAATTACTTTGACAGCACTTTTATTTGTAACTATTAGTCTCTTTCTTGAAAATAGGACTTGCACTTGTGTGCAGCTTAGGAGCTTGAGCAACATTCTGAATGAAATGCCACCTGGAAGCTTTTTTTTGCTTACTATAGCTGCACAATACCCAGGCTGTAATGTATGTGGAGAGCAGTAAGCTTTAAGCTTTAACAAGGGCTCATTTGTACACATCAGTGTATTGAGTGCAAGACAGTCAATGTATGGTTAATTCTATCCATAATAAACAAGACAAGACAGGTGCTGCAAATCATCATCAAAATCATTCGTGATGATGTGACCCACATATCAGTTACAAATCATAAGCTGCCAGTTTGCAAAGTTTTGGTAAAGGTGGATAAGAGATTGATCCACAAAACTCATAGATGTGTTTCCATCAGGTTTCCATGTGTCATTGCACACTCCTGATCAATAGGTGGCGATATTGTCAGTGTGTAATCATCCTCCTTCGGTGGTTTTGCAGAGCAAAATCATCCAATATGGCAGCCCACAGGATAGCATGTTTAGGGTTAAATGCCCTTTATTCCTCAGTCTGCGCCCCAAAGCAGGTAACTTCATTTTTATAATGCTGTATGTTGTGGTATAACAGTTGTCTATAAGACTGCATTGCCAATGTATGACAGAAAGGTGGCGAAAGCAGCTTTTCAGTATTATCTGCTAGCTCTCTGACGATAGCTTCGTGGCTAGTTGGACTGTTAAGGGACACACGACTTTTATAGGGTTTCTAAATAACTACGTAATATCTCAAAGCAAGATCATTGTTTGAATGATTCGGGTTAAAGGTAACGCTTTTATTTTCTTGCCACAAACAAAACTCGTGAAATAGATGTTTAATCATGTTTGAAGCTAACGGTGTGTTGATATCCTTACCAAGTTACGACACACGCATATGTCAGTCTGTCGATGAAGGTGAACGACTGAAGCACATATCCAACCATTTAGAAACTTTCAAAAAGGAGTCTCTATTCATTTTTAAATTAAAATGTTAGTGCATAGGGACAGCCCTGAGGGGGAAACATGTTTGTAGTTATAAGCACTCAAGTCGGGTTGGAATACGCCAAGAATTAAGGTAAATCAGAGGCTACGATATAGTTCATGTTTTTCAATGATCAAAAACAATCTTGCTTTTATAAAGGGTCCTTAATAGAAGTGGGTAACAAATAGACAAACAAACACGTATTTTCCTAATGAAATGTAAAGCACTAGTAGAGGACTATAACTTGTTCTATTTACAATGAGACGACCCCCCCCCCCCCCCCCCCCCCCCCCATTCAAAAAGTTGGTTGATTGAACATAGTTATCAAATTGCCAATATGATAGATGTAAGCTAATAGACTGCAAAAATCTAATCAGTTTTGCCTGTTTTTTGTTTTATTTTATTTGATAAAGTGATATTATAGGATTATATATATATTTTTGCAACTCTCTGTCTGGCATCTTGTACGTCAATATTGGTAATATTTGATAGCTAGATGGCAACATAAAGAACGGATTTATGCTGCAACAAGGATTAGGGACAAGGTGATATTGTGTGAGTCCCTGAGCCCATGCTGGCTCTTTACATGTCTGTAACACATAACAGTTAAGAGGAATCCAAATGGCCAGCCTTTAAATATGGATTTTTGTGAGATGGTGGGGCTGCCCTCATTTTATCTCTATGTAAATAAATCTTCACTATAGAGTGGTGCAGTGACGAGTCCTAAAACCCGGAAGTGAGTTAGCATTTTACCACTACCGGTTCCCTCGGCTCAGAGTCAATGGAATTTCTCCATAGGATTTTGGAAAACAGCTGTAAATAAGGTCTGTGGTTGACACAAATTTAAGAGACAGATCACGTTTTGTTCTACGACATTAAATACATCAGCAGTGACCCCACTGGTGATTTTTGAAGACTTTACGTGTCTGAAAAACGATGGTTGTTAACAAGTGGCTGAATAGGACTACATAAGTTGTCGAGGACGTTGTACGTCATTACGCCGAACACGTAAACACTCCCGCTAAATTTGTTTGCCCCTGTTCTGCTTGAAAGCAAGTACCTGCGCTCTTGCAAACTGTTAAAACAAACGCTTCAACTTGTACAATTTTGAATCTGCATTTTTGAATATCGATCTTAAGTTGGCGTGACGTTGAAGTCGTGCGACCCTGCTGTAGTTCGTTTATAGCATAACGTTAGCATTTTGCTTCTGGTGATTAGATTTATGATTCGAAAATTATAAAAGTAGGGTAGACATGTGGATATTATCCGGCTGAACAAAACGTGCATTTATCAAACAGGTTCGTTTTCCACAGACCTTATTTCGAGCTATTTTCCAAAATCCTATGGAGAGATCCAATTGCTTTTTTGTTGAGGGAACCCATGCGCAGCTTACTTCCGGATAAATACGTCATCCCTGCACCACTCTATAGCCGGATAATATCCACATGTCTACCCTACTTTTATAATTTTATAATCATAAATCTAATCGATAGATTAATTTTCTAATCATAAATCTATCGATTAGATTTATGATTATAAAATTATAAAAGTAGGGTAGACATGTGGATATTATCCGGCTGAACAAAACGTGATCCGTCTCTTAAATGTGTGTCAACCACAGACCTTATTTAGAGCTATTTTACTAAGTTTACTTCCGGGTTTTAGGACGTGTCACTGCGGTTCTCTATTAAGACATCAGCTAGGGTTTTCAATCTTTGCAAAAATAAAATGTATGAACAGCCTGTACCTTAAGACTTGGATCTTCAAAGAAACTCAGTTTGGGCCATTATCTCTGTGTGTGTTACCCAAAGGCATAACATAACTGCTAATAACATCTTCTGTAACACTGTGTAGGCCCTGAGGAGCTGCTGGGGGACGGTGGAGCAGGTGAGGGGTTACTATGTTAACTGGAGGATGCTGAGGGACGTCAAGAGAAGACAGATGGCATTTGACTTTGCTGATGAGAGGCTGCGGATCAATGCATTGAGGAAGAACACCATCCTACCAAAAGAACTCCAGGTACAAAGCAATATATAGTTAAACTGTAACTTTTTATCACTTTTTTTATCAGTTCATCATAATCAAATATGTTGTGATCATTAGTGAAGATTTTTGAAAATGTATAAATGCACATTGAATTACTAAACTTTAAAAAAATTGTTGCAGGAAGTGGCAGATAAAGAAATTGCAGCATTACCTAGGGACAGCTGCCCTGTCAGAATACGCAACCGATGTGTGATGACTTCCAGACCTCGGGGAGTGAAACGGAGGTGGCGACTGAGCCGAATCGTCTTCCGTGACTTAGCTGACCACAGCCAGATGTCTGGGATTATGAGGGCTAGGTGGTGACTGGGGATCCTTTGGACACTACAGTCAAATTGGATCATGAAAAGCAAGCTGTTTTATTGTTTATTGTCAGGAGAGCAGGACTTTAGCATTCAACACAAATGTGATTTGACCTTTTAGTGTTTGGACTCTTTGGAGGTATTGATCAAAGCCTGGAAGTTGTTAAGCTATAAAGTGAATCCACTCAGATGACTAGAGCACATTTCCAATCTTTGTAAATGCAGTGGCTTTCCTAAATATCTTCCTTTTCTCTGATTAGTTGTTCCCCTATCAGGGAATTGGTTTTCCTTCTAATAAGAAAAAACGACAACATATATTATATTTAAAGAGTTCAAATGAAACCCTCCAAAGAGGTAACTGTTCTTGTAACTTGAAAAATACCTGATGAATAAATATTATTGTACATTAATAACCTTTTTCACATGTGTCTTAGTTTGTATTGAAGGAGTATAAGTAGCCATGTGTTATGGGGAAAACTATAATTCTCTTCCCCTTGGACAAGACTGTTTAATATTACATTTCAAGATTCCAATGATATTGCATTGAGCCACAACCTTTAATTTTAAATATGATAAATCAAACTGTACAATTGTGTATGAGTTAAATAGTATAAACGTTTTGATGCAAAGTAATTGATACATGGAATTAAATTGAAGACTTTGCATCAATCTAAGGCATAAAAAGAAGTATAGCCATGTCATTACTTCGAAGAGCATTTGGTGACACTCATTAAAGGTCACCTATTGTGCAAAATCCACTTATTTCCTGTCCTATACATAAACATGTGTCCCCACTGTGTAAAGAGATTCTGAAAGTTTCAAGAAAAAAAAATTCGCTCACTTTTTGTGCTGATCCATTTATATAAAAACCTGTCAATGCATGATCTGTTTGGTATTTGGAGCCAAACACTTCAGAGACATATTTTTTATATAACTGAGACCTATAATAAAGTAATGAAAAACAATATAATAGGGGACCTTTGAAATTGTAAATGTTATGAATGCCAACACTCCGGCCCAGTAGGTGGCAGCAGCTTGTAAAGGCTACCTACCAAAAGACGAAGAAGAAGGAGAGCACTGCAGGCTGGAAGAGGACACTTTCAACTTAGCTAGCATAACTGATAAAGCCTAAATGGATCTTACTGAACAGGTGAACAGCATGTTTTAATCAGTTTTGTATGCACCGACAAGAAAAACAAAGAGTTAGTGTGTCATTTTCTAACTGAGATTCCTGGGATAAGCTATATATATGTTATATGACTCCTGTAAAATACAATGCTACGTTAGCTAGCGTTATTTTATTTAGGAACTAGTAAGCAAACTACTGCGACCCGGTAAAGTCGTTTCGCCTTTTATCTGTTGTTAAGCAATTTGCAAATTTTAACAATAACTTGCACAAATGTGTCATGTTACTTGCAATTATAATAACAATACTTTGTCCTGACGGGCGGCATGTTTCAGAAAGTTAGCCAGCTAGCTAGCAGGAGGCTAGCTATGACTGGAGTATTGTTACCAGAACATTCTACCAACGCTATCTGATCAAATCATTACTTGGTTAGGATTCCTATCATGACTACCGGTATAAAAGTTATATTCTTTATGTGTAGTGTTAGAGCACTCGCTCTTACAATCAACCCATTTTGCAAAATAACACATTTACTATGAGACGTGCTATTGTGAATGGCGCTTGAGGATCCAATTTTACATTACCAGTATCCGGATGATTTGCATGATCTAATATTCGGGCAGAAAGACGTATTTACAACATCAACAAATGTGTTTTTCGCTGATACAGTGTCATAGGTCCAGGGAGAAAAAACACCTTAATTATTCTATATACAGTGGATCCTTTGTACAACCTCTTTGAAGCATATATTGACTATTTTTCATTTAAGATATGACGTGACAAATTGATAAATCCATGGAGAAACATTCTTCGACACATCAAAAGAATATATATTTTTATGAGATATGAATTGGTCAGTGGTCTAATTCTTTCCCCAATACAGATCAACCAGTTGGAGGCGGATTTGGTGGAGCTGGGGTCGCTCCTGGAGAAGGCGGAGAGGAAGAGAGTGCAGGAGCTGCTACAGCAGGAGCAGAAGAAGGTGGAGAAGGAGCTCGCAGTGAAAAGACAACAGAAGGAGAAACAAGACAAAAGAGAGGCAGACCCAACTGCTGCCTCCAAAGCAGCGTACACAGTCAAGATCACCAACTATGGTACGGTGCCTTTTAGTAAGACAACCACTCATTTGTGAGAAAGTGCAAAAGTTAAAATGTTGCCTCTTTTGCCTCTTTTATACAGCATGGGACCAGTCAGACAAATTTGTCAAAATCTACCTTACAATGAAGGATTTGCACAAAATCCCACCAGAGAATGTAGAGGTCAGCTTTACAGAAAGGTACAGTAAAGGGCCAACGTATTATACAGTATATATACACATCATATGCCAACCATACATACTAATGCATACAACATACTACACACTAATACAACATACAATTAATTGCATTTTCCTATCTTTTATTTTGCAGGTCATTTTCGGTGTTGGTAAAGGATCTCGATGGGAAAAACCATCAGATGACAATGCTCAACATGTTATGTCCAATCAATGAGAAGGACAGCTACAAAAAGGTGAATAAAGCCTATATTCATTAATTAACGGAATAGAGTATGTATAATAGAGTTACACTAATAATAATAATATATGGGATTTGTATAGCGCTTTTCCTAATGCTCAAAGACGCTTTACATACAATCACACTACAACCTGTAACGACACTTTTGTCTAAATGAGAAATAGGAAAAATAAGATGTTTTCCTTTGTGTTTGCTTAAACTACATAAACAGTGTGTCCACTATAAAGCAGAAAGTAGAATTAAAACGTACTTATTTACTACATAGAATTATTATTTTTTTGTTTCTTTGGGCAAAGTACAATAGTTAAATCTTTTTTGCAGATTCAGCAAAATCAAAGAAACATAGTCGTCCCTTTTCCTGACAACTGCTGAATTGAGGCTCAGTGTTGACTTGCACCTGTTTACTTCTCGGGGGGGGGAAATAGAATAGCAAAATGTCTTTTGAAATTCCTTTAACCCTCTTTTTCCCGTTCAACAGATAAAAACAGACATGCTCCTGCTCATGTGCAAGAAGCAAACAACACAGAATTGGGAGTGCCTAACTAAGGCGGAAAAGCAGACAAAAGACAAAGAGTAAGTTAAAAGAGAAATGGAAATTGGTTACTTTTAGTTCAAGTGATTTGCACAAATTAGGTGACATAAGGCCACTGCATGCTTCCAATTAGTTAATTTGTGAAAGGTATTGTACAATATATATGATGACATGTGTGATTAATACCACTTCTAATTCCTGTTGCAATGTGTTGTGAATAGCTAAGGACATATTGGCAAAAGCAGTGTAAGAAATGACATAATCTCATACACCTCTGCAGTGCAGTACCACATCTCTCAGCCAGGTGTCACTGTATACAATGTAGCAAGGGTGCAGGCTACATGATGGAAACTCCTGCTATTCTGATTAACACATAACAACTGTTATACTATTGTCCATGTACAGTAAACCCAATGTTGAAGCGAATGCAGACCCCAGCGATGGCCTGATGACTATGCTGAAGAAGATTTACTCAGATGGAGATGATGAAATGAAGAGAACCATCAACAAAGCCTGGTCAGAGAGTCAAGAGAAGAAAGTTCGAGGAGGAGGAGGCGGAGAAGACATGATGGACTTCTGAAATGATTCAATGCATTTCCATAGCAGGACCAAGTGAGAGCTGCCAGGGATGCACCTGACATGACTTGAATATTACATTTTATGGAGTGAAGTCAAATATATCAATCATATTTCAACAAAAACTAAAAGTGTACAGCTCATACATAGGGTTTGGGAATAATGTCCAAGCTCTGGATTGTCACATTTTTAGCCTGGCTTTTAAAATCAGTCCACCAATCGCCTGATAGTCATACAAATGAAAACAGATTTGTTTGTGTTGAAGGACCACAATGAAGTTGTTTTTCTTTAGATTAATATGTGTTAGTAATTCTAAATTTTGATTGGACCATGGTAAATAAAACATGTGAGAAGTGTTGTGTAAAGTCAAACCTTAATTTTGTTCCTGTGCAGCTAAACTGAGCTGATATTTAAAAGTGTAGCCTACATTTGCCAAAGTCATGCTCATATTCCTTTAATGAACACAACAAGATGGCTCCTTCGACCTCTGTCTTGTCTTCTTCATATGCACATTTAATTTGTTGTCATTCCAAAAATATTTCAAATGAAACCGGCAAGGACAGTACTGCTTACATATCAATCTAGTGTAATAGGAAACATAAATGCATAGGTCTGTGTTTGGCGTCTTAATGTATTTTACCCATTCCTGTTGCATAATAAAATGCTCTAAAACACGTTCTATTTTCATTAATTAATGTTACTGTTGCATTTTCATGGTGTGGACTGATAGCTACTTTAAACCTATTACAGAAGCACTATTGGAGTTTCCTATTTCTTTCCAATGTTTGTGAATGTCTAAAATGTTTATTGATTACTTTGATTTTACTTTGGCTTCATTGTCTTGCACGTGTTGTTGCTCGCCCTCAGGTTGTTCAAAATGTTCTCACAAATACAGATCTTGGAACTGGGTCTACTTTGCGTCTGCTTTCTCTTCTAGTTTTTGAGCTCATAATATTTGAATCTGTTTTATTTGACATAAGATTGCATAAACACTATGCATGTGATCCATCTTGGCTGAATGGTTACATTTTTGTGTAGTCATAATTGAGATATTCCTTCACAGAGGCCTTCCTGCTCACAGACAAGGTGATTTTAGTTTAAGACAACGACTCATTAAACATAATCTTAAACCCTTTATTTTTTAAAGAACATGATAGGATAAGCAATGTTCCAGAATCTGTTTGACAAATGTTAACTTGGTTTGCTTGTAATGCAGTAGAGCATTAACTGGAACATGACTTGTCCTGTCTCTATAGACAGTCACAGGATGTAGACTAGTGACTACATTTTGTTTAAAATTATTTATATACATATAAGGTTTTGCAGTGCATGAGCCAGCAATCTGCACGTTTCGTCCACCAGGTGGCAGCTGCGATCACTAGTTCGCATGAGTTTCCTCTGGGATTATACACACACATAAACGCAGCCAATGTAGAAATTATTTTTTTATATTTTCTATGATTCTGAATGTTTTGGCAGAAACCACGTCTTTTCTCTTCCTGGAGTTTCCCTTGATTAAATAAAGGCTCATGACAGTATTTTTTGACGATATTTGTGAGTCACAGATATGTTGGACCTACAGGTGGGAGTACTTACATCAGCTGTTGTAGTATTTCCATGGTAGTATGGCTAGTATGCTAACCAATTTGCAACATGACATTGTAA